GTACTTCTAGGAGGTTGTAGAGAATTTGACGGGCTATCAGAATCTCTATTTACTTTGTCAAAACGAATAATTTATAGTGATAACATATGGAAAATACCGAGTCTAGTTATTTTTGGCCAGAGGGATATATGGCACCATCAGAGAAAAGCAGCTTTTTTCATCGAAATTGTAGCTATATTTGCAGATTTTACATAATTAGAATCTACAGGCTTCAGACTTTTTATTACTGGAAAAATATTTTGCTTTGACTTAGAAGTGTACACGAAAAAAATAACTTTTCAAAAATAAATCGGCCTTTAGAAACACTTCTAGCATGTAATGAAAAAAACGCAAGAAATTTCGCAGGTCCAATTTAACGAAAAACTATACTGAAATGTTTCTGGTCATGATTTATGCTGAATGTGGTTTTATGTTGTTTTTCTCCTGATCTCAGACATAGGATCTCCAAAAACTCCGTTGGTTTTTTAGGTAAAATCTGACTGTCGCACTTCAGAAGCATTTTTATTGAACACTAATGTAATATTTGGAATCAGCGCATAAAACTGCATCGAATGATGTACAATTTGTTAGTTTTACAACAAAAAGTCAGGGTAAGGGTTCCCTTCAGGGGTTTTTCATCGGCAAAAACTTTTTTTCGAATTTGACTTTTCTTAATATTTGACACATAATAAGACAATATCATGCGAAAATAATCATCTTCTAACTCAAAAGAAAAACAGATGTCCACCTGCTCTATGGAAAAGTGCCCACTATGACAGGCGCAGAATACATCGAATTATTTATATAGCAAAGTTTGCTGAACTAACGGATCAGCTCCCGTACAGCTATAAAACTTCTACTTTTTGGTTTAATGAAAAAACTGAACTTTTCAGCTGCCTCGTTGCACAAATTTTATAACTGTACGAGAGCTGATCCGTCAGTCCAGCAAATTTTGCTATATAAATAATTCAATATGTTCTGCAATCTGACAGTATTAGCATGTGTTCTATTGAAAGCTCATGATGTCCTTCTACTGGAGCGGCTTCTGGGGTTTCATCCAAGAAGGGTCTATAAAAATAAGAGAACATCAGATTTATGATCAGCATCAGCATAATAAAGTATGATTCGAGGAAAAAGTGATCGACAACTTGGCTGGGATAGTCAGAGATAATCGGATATTGTAATTTTCTTCATAAAACTTTTTCAACTTAACGAGAAAGTCCAATGCGCGTAGTTCAATATGAAGAGTTATCTCGTCACAAACTCGGTGTGATTAATGAAAAAAAAATGTGAACATTGTCAAATTATCTGCGAAAAATCATAAGATTGCTCTAGAAATTCTACTTCAAATTGTCTATTTCGCGTTAGACTCGAGGCAAGCATGCATTAATATCTATGCACAAAATTAAGCAAGGATAGGTGCCCTTAATAGACTTTTGTTCTTCTAGGGAACAGATGATCCAAAATGGAGTGACATTGTAACAGCCAGGGTTGAAAACACAAATCCACATTATCATCCACTAAATCATCAAGTTGAAGTATGTATTAAGAAAAGTATAAGCTTGCGCTCTTCCGCACAAATTTTCCTAGACAAGTTCAATGTATGTAAGAGTAAGAGTAGAGCTGGATAAATCAATCGCATATGCTAGTAAACGTAATGCTAATTCAAATACGATTCTAATGTATAGTAAAATTTTCAGAATAACAACAGAGATTTGAGAAATAATAAAAAAACTAATTAGAAAATAAATGTGTTAACCAATTTGTATTTTGTTTAGGTGTTTTCAGATAAACCGTTTTGGACAAACGATTCAAAACTAAAAGATTATGTTTGGGAAAATTTTGATTATAAACGTCATCCTCCACGACAAGTAAGTGAGTATGAGTGAAAATATTTGATATAGCAACCGATGATAAATATTTAATAAAGTTGAAGCTTTTTGGTGTCTATAGCAAAAAGAGAAAAAAAATATGTTTTTTTCGAAACCTTTTGTTATGTTGGTTTGTTTGTTAATAGAGGGCATTCAATTTATTTTCTTAAAAAAACTGTCAAGTGATTCTGCCAAAAAAAAAAAAAAAAAAAAAACTCAATAAATATCATAAAAGGCAGTCATTAGTGCTTAGTGTAAAACACATCATACGAAGCCGAATGATTTCATTTCTTTTTATTTTTTAGTAATGACGAAAAATTTCGTATCCTACCTTCAAGTTTTAAAAGCCAAACATTGCACTTTGTTGTTTTTTTTGTACTTGAGCAATGTACAATAAGAAAATCTGTCAAAAAGTCACCAATACACACACGCACACACACATAAACAAAACAAAAAAAAAATTTTTTCTATCATGTGATCTCGAATTTTTCTCATTCTATTCTTTTCTTTTTTTTTTTAACTTCGATGAAAGTCAAGAGTTATGTTATCATAGAGACATAAAATTATATATGTGTGAAGAGAAAGGCAAGTTGTAATATTAAAAAAAAAAAAAAGTAATTTTTCAATCTGATAGATAATAATAGGACAAAATTCATATGTAAAAGAAGATGTTCAGTTAAATAAGAAAAAATTATAAAACTTTCTGTAAAATATAGCAGTTAATTACATCTGAATTATTCATTATAGATAGATGATGATAGATTTTGCACTAATGTACTGAACATTTTAGTTCGGCAACATAGAGACGTATTGTATGACAAAGTTGAAGTTCAGTCCATAAGAACTGAACTGATTGACAAATCTGAATGTAAGAATTTTGAACGATGGTCTTTCTTCCACATATACGAATAAAACATTTATCTCTAGCTCATCTTTTGTCTTCTTCTTCTAATAACTATTATAAAAAGAAAATGTATATAGGAAAATCAGTGAATAAAAAGTGAGAAAATGATAAGAGTGAGAGAAAATATTTACATGAAATTAAAAATTTTTTTAAAGATTTTCTGAAAAATAATATTAAAACTTTCAGACAAATTCCGGCTTTTATTCAGTTTTTAAAGTTCTGTCCGACATTTTTTTTCTTTTTAAACAATTTATCTCTTTTATCGAGGTACACTATTTTTAAAATAAAAACAAATTGAAAATTTAAAACTTGAAATCAAATTCAATAACATAAAGATTTAACGCATTTTTTAAATTTCAAACAAAAAACAAAAGTCAACAGAAGAAATAGTTATAATTTTATTGTCTTATTGTACTCAATAAACAACAAAATAGTGTAAAAAAGCGTTGATATCATACTAACACTTCTACTCGTCTTACTTTTTTTCTTTTTGTCTTATTGGAAAAAAACAAACGAATCTATCTGTCATTTTCTAACAGAGATGAATCTTATTCTACAACATTATTACTAGAGGAGAAGACAATTAACCATTTTATTTTACAGTTATTACTTTTCTATTAAATAGAAGCAATTTGATAAGTTTTTTCTCTTTTCTGTGAGTTTATCAAAATCATTGCTAAGCCATTGATTTGCAACAGTCTTACGGATTATTTAGTGTGTAATTTTATTTGAGCAAATCTGAACGACTTTAATTTATGGAAGGAAAAAGTTAATGGTTGAAGGCAGTAAAGTCGCTTCAAACCTAAAAGAAATTTTCTTACCACAAATTTATTTTTAATAGATAAAAATTTCAACTCAAATGTCAATGTGTGAATGGACTCAATCTTCTTGAATGGTCTTATAAAAATTGTTGAAAAAGATGTTCTTTTGTATTTTCTTTTATCTCGTCAATGCGTCGCCAAACTGCCTTTTTTTTTTTTTCTATTAAAAAATATACTTTTTTTTCTCAGCACCTCGTTTCTCCGTAAGAAGACACACAGAAAAAAAGTATTTCAACGTCTGCGGTGTGATCGCTTGTTTCTAAGACAAAACTTCATTTCTAATTCAAACTTTTATTGTTCTCCTTTCAATTTAGCAAGAAGATATTCCATTAATTCTAACCGAAGATATTAACGAAAAGGTTTGTAAAATTGGATATTAAATTTTTCGATAGAAGAAAAGTAGCTAAAATTTAGAACTTTAAACATTATTCTAATATAAGCATAAATAACGAAACTTAAAAATAAGTGTCTACTAGGTGTCAGTCGAAAGATGGTAGGGTCTGTTGAGACTGTGAATAAAAGGAATGACTGTATAATTTGAGAAATGATGAACATAAATATACTTTGATTTTTGACGATTGCTTCTTTTTCTCAGGACAAAAGCTGTTTCTTGTTTTCGTTAATCATGTTAAAGTGAATAAAAGAGAATTCAGAGATCTAACATAATAATAATAAAGAAGTATAGATATTCAACCGAGAACTTCAATTCTTGTCTTCAAGGACAGTACAACGGCTTCCGATCTACGCTATTCGATTTTGCATTTGAGTCAGTTTCGTCGTGTAAATGTAAGTCATTATTGCAGAGAACAGAAAGTTATAATAATGTAGAGTTTTTTTCTTCTTTCTTTTCTATAGTCACCACCTGATCGTCCAAAATGGAATACGGTATCTAAAACACGTTCTGTGAATACCGTTTATAATCCAAAAGTTCCACCAGCTAACATAGTATGTATCTCTTTAACTTTTGAACAAGATGCATTCAATTCAAGATATTAAATTAATAATTTATAGATACGACGAAGTTGGGATAGAGAACTTCGACGAAAACGTGTTCATAGAGTAGGATATTAAGAAAATCATAAATAGTATATAACAGCAATTGACTAATTTCTTATCTTAGTTACCACCAATAAAACGGAAGAGGAGTGAGAAAGATGTGCCGTTACTATCACTACCCGTACCGGAAAAAATATCGATTCAACAAGCGGCAGTTGACTACAATCAAGATCAATCATCGGTATTTATTCTCTATCAAAGATTTTTAAAGAAATATTATCGGTTTTTTTTTCAGCAAGAACGAACAAGTGTTGATTATTTATCATCAAGACGTTCAAGCAAAGTATTACCACCACCTCATACCCATCGCAAACGAATATTTCCAGAATTTGACGTAAAATTATTTGCACTAAATAAAAAAGGGATATTTTTTTAATTATTACCATAGATTTTATTTTAGATTCCATTAGAAACACCAAGATCTCGACGAGTATGTGATTTATACTTATGAATATACAATAGTTTAGACAAATTAACATGTTGTTTTTCTCTTCTATAGCCTATACACGAAGAATGGTTGGAACAACAAAATAAATCCAGATTAACAACAGTCAGTAACTGATCCACTCATCATATGCATGTTAGCGTGATATCTGTTATTTTCTAGAGAACAGACATGCGTCCAATAACAAATGAATCTTATCGTGAATTTAATGGTTCAATGAAATCTAATACTCCACGAGAGTTATACACGATGGTAAATAGAGCGCTGTCTATTAGTATACTTAATATGTAGTCATGTTTTTACTTGCAGCGTTCATCATCACGAAATAGTCAAACGAATCTTAGCGTCATAAGTGGTACATTGTTAGATTCAAGTGTACACACAAATAGAGCTACTGAACTGAGATTATCAAGAGATATGGTTTGTTTTTTCTTAAATGTTTCTTTAGTTTCCCGCCATATTTAATTCTGTATTAAGGATGAAGCTCACTGCCACTTACATACGCCACATGAATCGATGCCTATAGAAATTCGAGGCTTCAAGGTATAGTGCTACAACAAACAAAACGTTCTTTTTTTAGCTTTGTTCACTGATACTTCTTAGCTTGAGGGTACACGATTAACCGTACCGGATGACGCTACAATTCGTCCATTATCAAATGTTAGTTATCGAGGTTCTGAACGTGTTAAAAGTCGTCGAATTTATCCATGGAATCATATGAATCCACCTACAAGTAGTAGAAATAGTTCTCTAGTGCCAATAGCTGAATTTCAAAGACCATCGTTAGATATGACTAATGACTCACGTCGTGAAGAAAATATTATACGAGAAGATGTTTGATATCTTCTGTTGTTATTTATAATATGGTGCTCTCGCGTTCAATCGCTCAGTTGAGTCAAGAAGTTTTGTTGGCATTATTGTTTTTTTCCGTACTATGGTGATAGATATTTATTGATTCTACTGTACATAATATTTCACGTTAAAACGTAATTTATATATTTTCTATAAAAAAATATTTGCGAGAACACATGATTACCCTTTTAACAAATTTAGAACGTATTATGCGTTCTATGTGATATATTTACCAGGAACAAGACTTTTACAACTAAGGACTTATGCTTTTGTTCTTCAATTGTAATAACCAAATTTTTACTTTTAAAATTCTATGATGAGTAAAGCAAGAAGTAAAACAAAACAGATATAACTGAATAAATATAATATTCTGAATTCAAACATTCTCAATATAGAGAAGATGTAAGTTAATAATCAAAACGTTTATGATTTTTGACCAATATTACTGTCTTTCGATGGTATGTGTAGTAGATTTAATAATATATTCAATAGAGAATCGTTCACACATAAAATATATCTGCCAGTTTCTTCATATAATTAATTTACAATCCATATTTTCTTGATAAATACAAGCACACACACTTTCAAATGTACAATGATTGGATACCAGTCTATAAAAACTAAATATTTATTTATCTATAAAAACTAATTCTGATATTATTTTATGAAAATTGCTATCAACTTAAACTACAGGGCCTGCTAGTTTAAGAATTTACTACATCTATACATCCACACTACGATGGGAAAACCTACTCCTCATCAGACTGTCGAAATGGAGTATGATTTGGTAGCATGTCAGTAACGTATAAAGAAAGACTTTTTTTATATAAACGATCCTTATTACTTGGTTCAGTCGATTTTCTTCTTCAAAAGGACGGTAATTAGCGATCACTTTTGTATGTTGTCTGTGAATAATTTGGAAAGAACTAAAAAAATGTGAAAGAAAACTAAAATATTACATATCCTAGAATTAACAGCGTAGAATTATATAAACGGTTTGTTTTTAACATTTTTTACTCGATCGTAATAGCCAGAACAAAGGAGGTCTAATAGCTAGACGAGTTTTCAATTAGACGCGCTATGTATGCAAGTTTCATCAAAATTTGTTGATATGAGATCTCTGAAAAAACAGAACTCTAGAAACCAAGTCTCGGAATTCAATCGAAAACTTTTTGCATACAACTTTTCCGAACAAAATGACATATTTCCAACTTCTCCACGACGTTCTTATGTCAGACTGCATTTATTATACGAATGGTCCCAAACGCATTTTTGATTGTTGTCCTGTTGATTTTACTGGTTTCGACTGACTAGGACCTTTCTATAAAATGAATGCAGTTTGACATAAGAACGTCGTGGAGAACTCGGAAATGTTTCATTTTGTCCAGAAAAGGTTGCTTTCAATGCTGACTTTCCGATTGAATTCAGAGACTTGGTTTCTAGAGTACTGTTTTTTCAGAGATTTCATATTACCGAATTTTAATGAAACTTGCATACCCATTGCTTCTGACTGAAAACTCTTCTAGCTATTAGAGCTCCTTTGTTCTGATCATTATGATCGAGTTAAAAACGTCAAAAAACAAATCGTTTTTCCACAGGACTGTATTGAAGTAGACATACTTCAGGAAGCAAATAATATTTAATTATTTATCTTCGAATTAAACAAGTTTCTAAAACGTAAAATGGACTTGGTATCTATAAACTTTAGAAAGATGCACATTTTTCATATGATTTACCAAGAAATATGTTAATTTTTCCGAGTAAAACTATATTAAACTTAACTGTTATGGATCTCTTACATAATGACGACAAAAAACCTTTTTCTAGCAAATCTGCAAAGGAAAACTGTGTGAACATATATAATACATGTCTGAATCCAACAAAGCCTCTCTTATTGATGGCCTAACTACTACTGTGAATCTAAACACTAAACAGGAGACTGTTTAGTCGTTTTAAATGACTTTTTGGACTAGATCCATATAACTAAAAATGAACTTGCCCGAAGGCCCGCTTGGACAGCAATTTTACGAGCGTTTTATTTTTATCGGAAAAAATGAACCACAATAAAATAGCAATCAATACTGCATCTATTACTGCATATCATGTTATTAAATTGCACACTTTGACGCTTATCAATGTCACGACAAAATTTCTTTTTTACTAGGGAAATTAGTCTACCCACTGAAAAAAAATTTACGAATTCCTGCGTTGACACGCAGTAATCTGAAAAAATCTTGTGAATGTTGGATATATACTGCAAGCTTTTACATCACGTTACCTCGCCGAAAATTTTCCTACAAGTTGGTGAGTATAATTGAGCAGGATTCTTTAACACGCTCACTTTTCGAGTTTCTTTTCTGCAGGATCCTGGAGGATTCTTCTCTAGACA